CTGTGTGTTTGACAGCTTGGGAATATGTGTGTGGTTCTGTGTGTGTGCATGAATTTAAACAGAAATGGTGATATGGAGGACTACATTTAGCATAAGACAGAAAATGAGATAAAGGATAGCAGGATGTACCTGAAGAAGATGGATACAGCTGATTGACAGAAAGGCCACAGTGATAGTCCTTAAGGTAACTTGGAATAGCTTTCAATCGAGAAGACCTTCGAAGCATGGGAGAATTTGTTTCAGAATGCGAATTAGTGTCCAAGGGGTCATTAGTAGGTGAGTCTGTGGTTGGTAAGAGTGGTAATGTAGGAGATGGAGGCTGGGAATTGGATGGTGAGGGTGAGTCAGAAGATAGATCAGGGGGAAGTGGCTGGAGTAAGGGTGACATGATAGTGTGAATTGGAGTATCATAAGGGGGATGGATAGGTGAATATGGTGGATGAGGCAAATCAGAAAGGTCTGGTGGCAGAGGTAACAAAGACTCAGTAGACTGATTAACATGAGGATTAGTTGCTGCGAAGGGGAATACAGACTCATAAAAGATCACATGACGTGATACAATAAATTCATGAGACTGTAAATCATATAGTAGATACCCTTTAGTACCTACTTTGTATCCCAGTAAAGCAGTTCTTCTTGCTCGAGGGGAAAATTTTGTGCGATGTGAAGACAGTGTGGAAGCATAGCTTAGACAGCCAAATACACGTAAGTGAGTCAACACTGGGGGTTCACCATACAACAATTCATAGGGAGTTTTATTTCCAAGACTTGAACAATATACACGGTTGATTAGATGAATGCTATGGGTAACTGCATAAGACCAAAGTTTAATTGGCACTGAGGCTTGAAATAGTATGGCTCGAGCCACATTCAACACGTGTTGATGCTTGCGTTCCACAACATAATTTTGCTGTGGTGTCTCAACGCAGCTAGTTTGATGTAAAATACCCTTGGAAGAAAAGAAATCACCCATCAGAAACTCTTTTCCATTGTCACTTCTGAAAATTTTAACCTTGGAATGGAACTGTGTTGCAGCAAAGGCAATAAAATTGCGGATGTGCATGCGAGTCTCTCCTTTATTTTTCATCAAGATCAACCAAGTGAAACGAGAATAGTCATCTACCAATGTTAAGAAGTATTTGTGTCCATGTATGGATGGAACACTGAAGGGTCCCCATATGTCTACATGCAGAATGTCAAAAACTTTATTTGTTTTAGTGATACTTGGGTGAAATGGCAACCTTTTTTGTTTAGCTAGGTGACAAGCATCACAAGGGTTTACATGTCGAGATGAAATAAAGGGAAATTGATTTGACATTGAATGAATTACATTTTCTGAAACATGGCCTAAGCGCCTATGCCATAATGGAGATGGATCTACAGACTTGTCCACAACATTGGGCAACTTATTTGCAGAAGTTGCAGTAGCAGCAATCTTATTCTTATCTTCCCTTGAAGCTTCTTGACCTTGAGGGACTATCACATACAAGCCGTTCTGGCATTCAGCAGTACCAATCGTCTCCTGGAACTGCATCTGCTTTATGAAACAAAATGGACTATAGAAAGTAAGACAACACTGCATGGACTGGGTCAGTTTGGAAGCAGAGATAAGATTCACACAAAATTGAGGTACATACAAAACATTTAACAGTGTTAAGGAAGGTAACAATTTAACTGTACCAGAAAAATTGCAATCAACATGGGTACCATTAGGAAGAGTAATGGATATCGATTCAATTTTATGCATTGAACAAAAGAAAGATGACATGTATGTTATGTGATCTGTTGCACCAGTATCTATGATCCAGCCAACCTTAGGAATACCTGATGCATTTGTGTGTGCATTGGACACTTGTGTAATGTTCACAGCATGTGAAGAATTCTCAACAGTTGATGTGTGTGGCATGGAATTTTGTAAGAGTGACAGAATGTGCTGGTATTGACTGAATGAAAGTGGATTTTGACTGTTTGGTGGTTGTGTTTGTATAGCAGCACTGGACTCAGATTCAGAAGGATCTTGTTGCACCACACTATTCACAGTATGAGTGCTCCTTTCACGTTGGTAACCAGGGGGATATCCATGGAGCTGGTAACATGTTTCGATAGTGTGATTCACTCTACCACAATGAGTGCAAATTCTGTTGCCTCTTCCACCTTGATTATATCTACCACGTCCTCTGTTACCTATTCCACCTTGGTTATTAAACATCCTTCGATTTCCATTGTTAAAGTAGCTAGTATTATTATTAGTTCCACTACCAGAATTGTTGAAATTTGCAAACACTGGTGAACTGTTCACAGCTGAGTTACCAGCTTCAGAATTGAACTGCCTCTCTTGCTGCACAATCATTGAGAAGGCTTTGTTCACATCTGGTAGTGGATTAGCATTACTTGTGAACGCACAGCACCGTATTGGTCATTCAAACCCTTTAAAAATCGTATTGTATGATCTCGATCACGATACGCACGCATCTTTACTATTGCTCCACAGTTGCAAGGAGGAAGGCACTCACATGAAGGGAGAGGTTTCAAATTCTCCAACTCATCCCAGAGAGTCTTCAGATGAGTGAAGAATTCTGTAATCGAATGATCTCCCTGCTGTAGTCTATAAATCTCTTCTTGAAGGTCTGATATACGAAACACATCAGAATGAGCAAATCTCCGGCGCAAATCAAGCCAGGCATCACGTGCACACTCGATCCATATAATCGACTTGGCAATGGATTCAGAAATGGATCTGTGGATCCATGCCATCACCATCGTATTGCAGTGTTGCCATTGAGGAAAAGTTGGATCATCACGAGGAGGAGCAATGATGCTTCCATCCACGAATCCAAGTTTGTTCTTGGACAAAAGAGATACTGTCATTCCACGAGCCCAGATGTGGTAGTTATTTCCAGTGAGAGGAGGATTAACCAGAACCAATGAGGGACTTTCATTAGGATGCAAATACATTTGATGCGAAGGATTGGTGAAATCCATGAATGGATTATGAAGTTCCATGAAAGAAAGTTCAAGAACCAGGAAAAGGAAGAATCGAAAGAGATATTGAAGCTGAGTACCAGAGCTCTGTTTAGAGCTCTGATACCATATCAAGAATAAAGGAAATTCTCATTACTGCATAATAATCATTACAAGGTCGAACTCATATATATATATATATGAGATAAAGAACGCTATAAGAATAGAAACGAAAAGGCGGGAAAAATTGTTAGAACTGTAACTAACTATGAAAACAGTAATCAGTTCAGAAATCAATTTCTATTTCTATCGTGATAAGTTGCTGCAAAGTTTTTATCATCCACGTCAGCAGTGGTTGGGTCCATAAGACTGAGTTCATTGGACCATTGTAATAAGTTGGGCTTTGGTTGTAACTTGGACTGCATATCTGGTGTTAAAAATAATAATGATAATGATAATGTTGAAGACGATGGAACGGATAAATGAGGCAAGTGAGCAAGGTTGTGAAGTGTCAACCACAGTATCTTCAATTAGAATAATGCTACTTATAAATACTTTACAGATATTACTTCACACTATCTTGATTAACTAACAATCTATTTATACTTATACTAAATTTGTGCCAATTTGATTGTCAATTTTTTTATTGACTCAATTACATTATTTGTGTATATTAAATTAATAAAAAATGACACATTTATTTTAAATATGAAATCATCATTCAATATATTAATTTATTTTCAGATATTTTTTTAGTATATAAAACATTTTATTTATTTAATAATTTTTTAATTAATTTAATCTACTCAAATTGCTTTAGACTTTTTAGAGTAAATCTAATTAAAAATTTCTCCTTTTGAGCTGTTCCACGTGTGTCTCTAGGTAAGCCACACTATAATTGCATTTATTTGACCTAATAAGTCAGTCTATTTTGTTGTTGTTGCATTTATGAATAGTTATGGGAAACAAACAGCCGAAAGAAAGTCCACTGTCCATAGAAGGAAGCTTTCTGTAACGACGATATGCTTAGCTGTGGATCTATCTCTGGGATGAGCGAAGCATCATGGGGCATGCTCGTCTCAATAATCAGAGAATTTCTTAGATATAAAATTTTATGCACATCATAACAACATAACACCCCACATATCATATCAATATAATGATTATTGTTATTTGATCATATAAAGAAAAAATTTGACTTTTTAACCTACAGAAAACTATCTTCGTAAAATGACGCATGAAGAATTAGAAATGTACCTAGTAAGCTTACTTTTTGTCCGTAACTATTCTTGTAAATATCAATTAATACTAAATAGCGCTGCCGTTTAATTTAACTTGTATAGTTAAGAAATGCTATCACATCAAGTATATATCAAAGAAATTCTCCTCTCATAAACTTTCCTTCTTGATTGTTCATTCGTGTCGCCATCATCGTCATCAACATCCTTAGATTCCGAGGTGTACAAACAACACAGTTTAAACCGTGCCCACTATACTTCAATGGGTATGGTTGAATTTACGTAGCAATTCAAATCCAAGAATTTAAACAAACGAAAGTGGGAAAACTTCCCTTCGAGGCTTCGTCTATATATGCTTTAATCACCAAAAAACTCTTCAGCCTTCGCTCCCACTCCCAGATTTTATTTTATTTTTCCTCACTCTATTCTAAATATTTATTTATTATTTAATAATGCCACTACTAATTTTCCAAATTAATTAAGATGACTATGCATAATTACACACAACCCTTTTTCAATTCATCCTTGAATTCAATGTTCAAAATCAATAATTAACAAAATAGCAAATAATTTGATTAATATGAAACAAAGTATATTCAAATAGTATCTTACGAAAAGCAAAATCGCGTTTTATGCATCGTCGTCGAGTGCTAAAGTGGTTATCTCGTAATTTCCTCAAAATAAAGGGGTAGCTTTGCTAATTCTTCTTTTTTCATTTGTCACCCCTCCTTCCCTTTATCCTTACAAAAACCCCTTCGCGCTCCACGTTAAATGGAGTTCAGTTCTGCACAGTGTGCAAATAAACAAAGACCACAGTTATGTGGCCGCCGACGAACACTCGGCGGAGCTCCGGCGAAGCCTCCGATTGGATCTCCGAGGTAATCAATGGCGGTTCTCTACGCCACGTTGACCTTCACTCCGGAACCAACGGCTGGACCTCACCGCCCGGAGACGTCTTCTCTCTTCGCTCCAACGACTACTTCACAAAACGACAAAAATCCCCCGCCGGCGAGTACCTGCTATCGCCGGCCGGCATGGACTGGCTCAAGTCCAGTGCCAAGCTGGATAACGTGCTTGCACGCGCCGACAACCGCGTGTCGCACGCGCTCCGCAAAGCGCAAGCCGAAGGTCGTTCTCTGAAGAGCTTCGTGTTCGCCGTGAACCTCCAGATTCCTGGCGGGAAGGAGCACCACAGCGCGGTGTTCTATTTCGCGACGGAGGAACCGGTCCAGGCCGGTTCGCTGCTTTACCGGTTCGTGAACGGCGACGACGGGTTCAGGAACCAGCGGTTCAAGTTGGTGAACCGGATCGTGAAGGGACCGTGGATCGTAAAGAAAGCGGTGGGGAATCACAGCGCGTGCTTGTTGGGGAAGGCGTTGACGTGCAATTACCATAGAGGACCCAACTATTTGGAGATTGACGTTGATATTGGGAGCAGTGCCATCGCCAATGCGATTCTTCACCTTGCGTTGGGGTACGTGACCACCGTCACCATCGATATGGGGTTCCTTGTGGAGGCGCAAACGGATGACGAGTTGCCTGAACGCTTGATCGGTGCCGTTAGGGTTTGCCAGATGGAGATGTCTTCCACCACCGTCGTCGACTCGTTACACGCGCCGCCTATGGCGCGTGGCCATGGATTGGCCAAGGTGAATCACCACAAATCTGCGGAGTCGTAAAAAAAAAAAATCAATTTTTTTGTTTTTTTGGAAAAAATTTCAGCAAATAATCGTTTTCCTTGAATTATAATTACTCATTTGTCAAATATAATTGGAAAATCATTCTTGTTTACTAAAATTTTACACCGAATCTTAATGTTTAATTATTAGTTATTAATGTGTATGATTTAATTAATAAATTAGTAATGTATCCAAATTTAAATTTGTTAATTAATTTATAAAATTATTTATCAATACTCGAACCTTTATTCTTCAATAAAGAACGGTGTAAAATTGTTTTTTTTTCAAAAAAAAAAGTGTGAAATCTTGGTGAACAAATAAGACAAGTGAAAGTAATTATATCTTTATTTCACTTGATCTCCAAAAAGTAAAAAATAAAGTTATTTAAGCATCTTTTTACGTTAAGGCATTGGTAAAATTTGAAAAAGATTGGAGTAGTCAACTTTACCAGTAAACTAGCATTTTACTGTTTATGGCCTAATGGGATTGTGATTAAAGGAGTTTATAGCATTATTTATGAGCCGAAGAAGGGAAGGGAACATGGTAGGTGAAGTTTGGGATGGGGAGAGAGTAGATGAAGTGCGTCTCCGTGGTGCTTGGAATCACAGTTGTTGAGGACAAGAAGCATAAAACGCAAGGCATGCGAATGTGATGCAAGTTGGACATTCCTTTCTTTAAATGACAGGGGATTCTTTTGTTGTTGATAATAATAATAATAATAATGGATTATAAAGTTTGTTAACCAAAATATTTTTCCCTTTTTTTATTTTGAGATTAAGCAAATTTGGTTTCTGACGAATCAATAATAATGCAAATGTACAACACAGATGTAGTGGTTTGATTCTTCCAGCGTGGGATTTAGGGTATAATCGTGGACAAAATAAAGGTTGTTCATTTTTTATTAAAACCATTATTATTTAGTATTAGATTTTTAGGGAGCGTTTGGTTGAAGAGAAATTTTTTGAATACTATGGAAATGTAATTACTAGAGAAATGGTTGGAAAGTGAGTTTAGTAGAAAAATGTAAAAAAAATTGTTTGGTTGGAAAAAAAATTACCGAAAAAATTTAGCAACCCGAGGGTATTTTGGTTTGGGTTAACTTTCACTTTTTGCCATTTGCCCATCTAACTAAGGAAAACCACGTCCAAGGAAGCTTTCTAAACAGTGACAATTGCTCCATTTCCATGGCCAAATCTGAATAGCTATGCAACATGAATAGATGGAAAAATTTTAAGAAACTCTCTACCAAACAAGAAAATCAACAATTGCCAACTTGATTTGGATGAAAAATTTTTAAGAAACACCCGACCAAACAGCACCTTAGAAGTTAACTGAACGTACTTCTTTCCTTGCGTAAGACTTCAATCATGTCATGACCATTGTTGTTGACCATGAACTTTGAGGGATATCGATGGTGACATTACGAGGACAATGCGACTTACGAGCAACGTTGTTAAACTCGACCTGCGCATCGATCCGGTGGGGATACTGAGTTACTGGGTCACTGGTTGGACTGGTGGATCACTGGTCGAACCGGTTGACCCGGATATATATAGATATATAAAAATATATATAAATATGAACATATAAATTCAATTATATTCTTCATATTTAAAATGAATTAAACAAGGTTCACTAAATAAGTTCAAAAATATGAAGCATAAATAAATAAAAATGCATACTATTACTATATCAATTTAAATTGCAACTCAAAATTCTCATAAACATATCTCTCAATGACATTGAACTCATATTTTTCAAATTCAACTACACTAAAATGACATATGTCACATTCTCTAATTTATTATTCCACAAATTGCTTCAGTATTGGAAACTAAGAGGTCATTGTAGAAGAGTATATTAACAAATAAAATTACAAAAAGTTTTTAAAATGAGTTTTGCATTTTTTTATAAGATGAAACAATTTTTTTTTAAATGCATGACCCGACCTGGTCAATTGGTCACCGGGTTTGGCCGATTTTGTTCGAATTTTGACTGGATTTGACTAGGTCGATGCATGACCGATCCAATGCTTGACCCAAACTGATCTGATGACCGGTTCACTGGGTCCCGGGTCGACCCGGCCGAGATTTACAAGAGTGCTTACGAGTTTATTACTTAGTCCTTTTCTTCTTTTTAAAAATAAATCTATGCGGAGCTAGATGCCAAATTGGGCAAGCTAGCTTTTAGTCACTAAATAATGCTGCTTGGTATATGTGTAATTTCTTTTTGGGCAACGTTTGACAGAGGAGAAAAAAATTTTTACTAGGAAAATATAATTACTGAGGAAATGATAGAAAAATAAATTTGATAGAAAAATTTAAAAAAAATTGTTTGGTTGACCGAAATATTACTGAAAAAATTTATTTAAATTTGCAAAGTCTATGTTTTGTTGAATGTAAATAATAATGAAAAAATAGGTTAAATTGACGAAAATACTCCCGTTATAAAATTTGCATGTGGAAGTGAAGTCACTCACTATGAGGGTCAATTTGGTTCATAACTTTTTCTCCATTTTTCACTTTCCCATCTATTCCAAAATATCATATCTCAAATAGTTTTTTAGAATAGTAAAAATCAACACAAAAAGAGTTTCCTATGCTTCCTAATCTCCTAGTATTTTTTTATTTTTTTTTGCAAACTTGTACCAAACGTGATATTTCTCAATACCCATTTTCACTTCCCCATCAAACTCAAAATAAAACATATACCAAACACATCCTTGGTGTGTAGCACAGACTGCAGGAGGAGATAAAGCTCAAGATCAACAATGATGAGTTGCCATTTTTTATTCTGGAATCAATTCTTTTTTGAGAAATAGTTTTTTTATGTTGTAGAAAAAATTTTCTCTCATGTAGTAGATACAAAATTATAAGTGGGACTCACAAATAATAGGAGAAAGAAAAAATAGAGATGAGATCTACCTCTCTTTTGTGTGTGTAAAAAATTAACTTCTCTTATGTAACATGAAATAAATATAACTTTTTTTTTAAGTGCGGGGGCTATGCCCGGAATCAAATAGCCCAATTCCAACCAGGATCAGGTTGGTTGACCTCAAATATTCCGATGGGAATTTTAATAATCAAAATAAATGATAATATATATGATGTGGGTCAACTGGAAGAATAATCCAATTCATGTTTATTAAGCTTCATAATTTTTTTTTTCACATTCATTCGGTTTCATAAATTCATGGAAGGCGCACCTTGGCACATGGGAGGACTGGAATTGGCGGTCGACCCTTCTTAAATTTTGATTTTTTTTATTAATGTAAAAAAGTAATTTTTAAATAATAATAGATTATTGACGATAGTTATTCGCTCTTTCATAAACATATGTAATATGTAGCCCATTCTATTAATCTTAATAGCATTTGTAACTTTACTATATTTTTTTGCCCCCATTATAAAAATCCTTGGATCTGCCACTGTCTCCGCAGACATTTTAGCTTGATGCGAACTTGTCAACTTGTCAAAATGGATTAGTCATATGAGTGAGGATTTTGTTACTTATGTTGATAATGGATTAGTCATATGAATCTCGAAGATTTTGGAGTATAATCTTAGCTCGTTCCTTTGGCTTAATATTCTATCCCAACATTGAAAGTTGAGAATGTAGAGATGTCATTGTTACTGTAAATAGTATAGAAATCTCACATTGTGTATATGTCGTTGTATTTCTTATTTGGTTTAATATATAAACGAAATCTCCTTCGTGTAGTTGACACAAGGATTACAATGAATACCTCTTGTCTCTTATATTTAACATGGTATCTAGAACCTAACAAGAGGAATCCTAATACGCATTTTTTCGGTGGACCACTGTCCGCTGCGTAATATATATATTTTTTCCGGAAACCGTCATATCTGTCAGTTTTCGTCTTCCCTATTTTTTTCTGACCATGTCTCAGCACTGCCGCTGTCCAGAACGATTGTTGACCGCCGCCCGCCACCGTTGACCGCCGCCCGCCACCGTTTCCAGCGACTTTTCTGGCGAAACTCCCATCGATCTGACCGCCACAACAAGGCGGTCCTGTCTGTCCAGCACCCATCTCCAACAACTCAGCGACGCGCCCACACGCGCGGGAGGAAGCTACTGCCGTCCGCTCCATTGCAGCAGCGCGTGAAGCTCTGGCTGGACCTCTGACCACCACGGTTCAACTCGTCTTCTCCTTGCGCACCTAGATTTGTCCTCACTTTGTTGTTCCGACTTCGTTTCGGCTTCCGACAGTGTCTCTTTCTCTTGCTGGTCACTATTCACACGTGTTTCTTTGCTTTTGGTTGCTGTTCATTTTTGTTTCAGGTGATCTATGGCTGATAAGTCACCCACGATGCATCCAAGGGTACTCAAAAGGCTGACACGCCTGTTTTTTCTAATTATGTTAATGTTCCGTTGCACGTCGACAAGTTGGATGGCTCCAATTACGATTCTTGGGCTTCTGATCTCCGACTTTGGCTTGATGGACATGATTATACTGACCATCTCATTACTAAGGCTGAGTCCATCTCAGTCGATGTACGTCCTCATTGGAATAAGGTTGATGCTCAGTTATGTAGCATCATCAAGTCTACCATCACTCGTCGTTGAAGCAAATTTTTCGTGCTCACGTCACTTGTGAATCTGTTTGGTGTCAGGCCAAGTCACTTTATACCAATAACACTCAGCGACTCTATGGTGTTTGTCAAAATTTGATTACTACTATTGCTGCTCAACAACTTGATGTCTCCATGTCTGTTTACTTGGGAAAAGTTCAGGGCCTCCTTCATGATTTCAATGAACTATTGCCGCCTGCTGCAGATCCTGCTAAAGAACTTGAGCAATGCAGAATGTTCTTCATGCTCATGTCTCTTTACGGTTTGCCCCTGGAATACTCTGTCAACCGGGATCAGATCTTGGGCTCTACTACTGTTCCATCGCTGGACTCTGTTTGGTCTACGTTGCTTCACATTCCACCTAAGACTGCTATGGAGCCTGCAGTATCTGCTCCCTCTTCAATTGAC